GTAGTAGTAGTAAGAAGAGTAGGAGTGAGAGTAGGAGTAGGAGTAGGAGCAGGAGCAGGAGCAGGAGCAGGAGCAGCAGCAGCAGCAGCAGCCGCAGCAGCAGCAGCAGCCGCAGCCGCAGTGGCAGTGGCAGTGGCAGTAGCAGTGGTGGTGGTAGTAGTAGCAGCAACATCGCGCCGTGCTTGCGGGCACTGCAGTCGCCGTGGTCGTGGCAGTGGCAGCGTGCATCAGCGTCTGTTCCTGACCTGCATTTTTTTGAGGAACATTCTGTTCCCCTCGACGGTCTCCACGGGCTGCGGATTTCTTCAGGCGGTGGTCTACTTGACCTTCATGAGCACCTCGCAGGCTGATTCTAGGACCAGTGACCCCAAAACAACAGTCCCAGTGCTCAGGGTCATGAGGTTTGACTTGCTCGCCTTTTTGTTTGACCATTCTGCCTTGCTGGCGACTCTGACATCACATGCGTATTGCTTGCACCTACACCCAAAACCTTGCATCAGCGCTAAGCCGTCTTGCAGTGACACGACAAGACGCAAGACAAGGCCTGCAGTGAAAGACGTTTGGCTGCGAGGGCCCCGCGACTCCTGAAATGCGAGATCAGACAGCCGGAGGGTCTTGTCATCGTCTCGACTTAAACATAATAACGAATCAGAGGGAGAGAGAGATCTCTAGCAGATCATCTGTGTACGGGGGACCATTAATTCGGGATAATATCAGTATTACTGCCCGGTGTCCGACTTCTGATGGACGATCGTGGTGCATGTTCAGAGGAGAGCTTCTCCAGCATCGGAGCATTCCTTGGTGTAGGTCTTGGCTCACATGGCGTTTAATTAAGGGTTGGCTGGAGTCCAAAATCCCCAAACCCGAAATTTAGTTTACGCAGGGCCCAAGACCAGCTGATGTGCTTTGGACTGCTGTTCAAACACGTGCTCCCAATCAGCGGCTACGTGCTGCAATAGGGGCCCGGGGATAACAAACAGCTGGCCGCCCTAATTTTCGGACATGTTCTGAACCCTGGGGCCGAGGTACCACGCAGATTCGCAGGCAAGGCCTGACGATGTCTCGCTCGACGAAGTATTTCACCTCCATTCTCCTGCGAGTGTGCGATGTCATCTTCAAGAAGCTTGGATTACATCGAGAGAAGGATTGGTTCAAGAGGTTTCAGGACCCAGCCGAACTTCCCAGTCTGGCTTTTGGTAGCAAAGTTTGAGACCACGCGGGCGGCAGGAAGAAACATAAACGACAATGGCTCCGACCTGGATGAAGCATGTACTATAGAAGTCTGAAAACTCACCATTATTAGGGGCCTCATGATTATACCATAGTGTAGCATACTGCAATGTCCAATTTATAATGTAATCTAGCATAACATGCATAACATAAAAAATGGTCTCGTATAGTCTAGTCAGTCTAGTATAGTATAGTATAATATGGTATAGTATACGCTATAGTATACAGCTCTATTACATATACAGGTGTGTACATTATACTAAACTCTGCGGTGCACACCAAACTCTGGAGCTGGCCCGAGACCTGCTCAGGTTTGGCGTCTTTTGCGTTCTCCTTGGTGCCGGCCTCACAGGCCGCTGGTCGCCCAAAACAAAAATTCAACGTGTCATATGGACATTAGGTGGTAGGGTTGAGGGATTTAGGGGTCTAGGGGTTGCGAGAGTCCTGGATGCAAAAGGGGTCTAGGAGTTTAGGGTTTCGGTTTCGGCTTGAGGGGTTTAGGGGTCTAGGAGTTTAGGGGTTTATTTTTTGACGGGGTTTAGGGTTTCATGACCCTAGGGCTGCCACAAATCGCAGAGGCCAGAGAACCTCTGTCCATCATGAGCTCGAGTAGTCACATGCGAGCAGGGCGCCGGCGATAACGCTCCCTGAGCCAAGGCGGAGATTCAGCAAATTCAGCTGTGGAAGCCCCTACTTGCAGTAGAAAGCGTTCAAGCGCTTCTGAGAAAGAACGGGTTCCAAGCCCACTGATTCGGATCCAGGCTGGGGCTGTTCGTGTCCCTGTTCTGGATCTGCTCTTTATGGAACGGCCGCTTGGCGTGTGGTAGTTCCGTAATTGGAATGATGACTCCCTTGCCATGCGGCCACCATATACTGACTCAGACGGCAGTACCTCGCCAAACACTGTATGCAGGGCTCCCTCAAGCAGGACTGCGAGTTTCAAGCAACCAGGTTCAAAGAGACCTTGAGATTTATTAGCCAAGCCGAGGCCGTTGGGCCTTGTGCCGCATCTCCCCTTCCCCCGAACGGCACCTGCTATGCGCGCGTGGCGCTGCCCGGTTGCGGCTAGCGGCTACAAGACTTAGAGTCAGATCGCGATTGCGGGCTTTGCATGTCCATGGCTTAGCACTAAGTGTGTTCGCATTGTGGGGTGTCGTGCTGGCTAAGTCACTAGAGTATGTGAAGTAATTATTTACTGGGGTGTGGCATTTCCAGTTTTCAATGTGCTGTCCATCATCTGACAGGAAGACTTGCAGCCAGTACTGTAAAGGATTATAGGGAGAGACATTCGAACAAGGGACCAAAGTGAATCGAATCGCGACCCCTGCTTGAGAACCACCGCCACCGCTACACGAGATGTTTGAGACTCTGATGAACGAGCCACTCTGTGGGTTGCGCCGAGGGCTAGGCCAAAGCCTAAATCGGAACTTCGAAGGTTCCTATGAATACTCTAAGCCTTGTGCAGAAACGAACCCTAAACCATCAAGCCCCTTTCATGCGCTGACGTGACAGGAGCCGACTGATAGACGTTCACCCATATCTTCCCGGGTTCAGGGTCAACGAAGTATGTGATCAACCATGCGCTTGCACCACTTGCCCCCTTGTCGGTGTTATGATGGAATCCGGCAAAGCAAAGCTGTTCTTTCACGCTGTAAAGAAGCGTGTTTGAAAAGCTTTCTAAAGAGAAGTGGGGGAGACCGCTCCTGCAACTTATGAGGAACGGAAATGCTAACAAAAACGAGGTATGTGCCTTTGAGCTGCTGTTTGCTTGGCCTTGCGCTGGTGGTCTACTTCCAGCGCTGCCCTTAAAACGCCAGGGCTTGAAGGTACAGGGTTCAGGGCTTGCAAAAGCTTCCTGTGTAGGGGTTCCCGGCTGGCTGCTGGGCGCCTTTTGGTGAAGATCACGGTTCGGCGATGTCCTGTCCGAGATTGTTGTGTTGAGGTTGTGTAGAGAGGGGAGGTGGTTCAGTTCCGTCTGGAAGGCTTTGAAAAGGCTTCGAAGATCAGGCCTGTGACTGTTGGTGATGCGCTTCCTTACAAACGATGTGACTGCAGTGACGATGCTTCTGAACTTGGTATGCCCCTTCCATCCTGGCCCTGGTCGAACATGCTGTGTCATGGGCACCGACTAGTACAGATGCAGACCGGGGTCCAAAAAGCGCGGCCGCCCTTCAAATCTCGAAGTCACTGTTACTGTTTTTCGCTGAGTGTACTTTTCCGGCGAATGCTCAGCTCAAGGTATTGAGTTGCGATAAGCCATAGCCAGAGATGGCGACGAGTAGCCGAATGAAACATTGTCTTACGCCGTAGCCGCCAACATCTTTGTCCTGCGGTTCTGCTAGGGTGGCATTCTCAGAAGTTCAACTAGAACAGGATTTTGGGGTTTATTACACTGTAATTCCAATACGGAGCCGCAAACTATATCTATCCATGCCATCAGGTGCTGGAGCCGGGCAGCAGCAAGCCAAGCATCTGACGACGCCTCCATGCTGCGAGGCTTCTCGAACCACATCCACCACCACGACTAATTACAGGCTACTAATGCTACTACTGCGACGACGACCACGACGGCGGCGACGGCGGCGACGACAACTACTACTTCTACGACGACTCCTACTGCTACTACGGATGTTACTACAACTGCTACTAGCAAAGGTCGATTCTACTACTACAGCGACCACTAGCGTTACCACTGCCACGACGACGACAACAACTCCTCCTGCTCCTCTGCCTGCTCCTAGTCCACCTAGTCCCAGGCCTCCTCCTACTCTGCTACTGCTGCTGCTACTGCTACTGCTATTGCTGCTACTACCTCTACTACTACCACGACTACGAAGACGACGACGACGACGACGACTACTACTACTACTACTGCTATTGCTGCTACTACTGCCTGCTCCTGCTCCTGCTCCTGCTGCTGCTGCTGCTGCTGCTGCTGCTAGTCGCTGAATCTGTGTAACGGTGTAACCTCAACAACAAGAAGCATCATGCATAAACACCATTAGGGCAACGACAGCAGCAGTACCTGTAGCGCCTCCAGGAGCGATTGCCCGCAAGTGCTTCGAATAAGGCGGTTTCAGCCAAGCCGTTTAGCTAATCTGAGTTGAAGCGCAAATTGGTCACCGCCCCCCTGTCAGCCTTTGCCCCAGCATCCACCCCGGCCGTGCACCCGATCCAGATCCCGCCGATCTGCCTTCAGCACTCGACTCGTTGGGGACTGTCGCCACACTTGCTGCAGGCAATCAGGTTTCTTGGGTTGGCTTCGGACATACAATATGAACAGCATCATCCAGAGCAGACTGCTGGGCTGGCCCATGCTTGGCACAGACTTTTAGGGGCTTTAGGGGTTGGCAAGAGCCAGAACACCTTGCCGTGCAGAGGAGTTTGATGCTGGTTTGGAGGAACTTGAGCTTGTCTCGCCGTTTTTCGGGTTGCATTAGGATCCGGCATCGATGCAGGCATTTGCTGCCATCGTTGGCCGTTGTTGTGCTGCATGACGGTGACCGCCTCTCCTTGGGCAGGCTTCGTGATGTACAACATCACAACCTTTGACACAGATGTCATCCGCGGGCCCCTGCTTGACCCTGAGAATGGTGGCACATTTTATGTACATCCTACATCGCAAGGATTGGCCACCGCTTCTTCGTCAGACGATGCAGGTACACATAATACGTCGCCAATGAGCGTTCCTCGAGTTGTTTTTTCTCGGCCGAGTACTAGGGACAACTCCCTCCATCATTGGGATTTTGCTGTTATGTCGGACAGGTTTCTGTAGGTATGGCTCTTCTGTGTGCACTGCAGCATAAAAGATCAATCGCCATTAGGCATGAATAACAAACGCAACAAAGCAGTCCCCAGGTTCCACCAGCACGGAAACTTGTTCGGCTTGAACCGGTGGGGCTATGTGTCTTGGCTGGTTCAGGCTTTGATTCTCGGTGTGGAGCTTGTGTCATGACTGGGTGCAATATCGATGCTGTAGTGGTAGTGCGGATTGTGTAAGCCACCTCTCTACTTCCAACTTTAACCTCAAATCACAAGGCCCTAGACTGATCTAGACTTTAATAAGGTTCAGAAATCGGCTTGCTTTCGAGATCTGACGTCTTCGATCTGGGTCATTGCCAAAATTAGGGCTAGGACATCGAATGAGTGATTTACATTGCAAGCCAGAATGTTGGATGCTCCAAGTACACCTCGCTTTGTGGGCATAGTTCTCAGCCATGCGAGAGGGAAGAAATCAGCAGACAGCTGTGGCAGGAGGTACAACGAGATGCCGTTGCTCGTTCCTTGTGTTGCTGGTGGCCAACCCGGCTCAAGCCACTCCGCACACATCATCTCCCACATCTGTTGCAGTCGGTGTTCATGGCCAACCTCATACATCATGCGCGCTATCATGTAACCCCAAGAACTCCTGGCACGGTTTCTGAGCAGTCCCCAAAGCATCCCGCTGAACCCAACAATCCTAGGCTGCGCTTTGTACCCACAAGCCACAAGCCAAATTACCAAACTATATTCCGATAGCATATATGGAGGCCTCCCTCAGTCACAGTCCCCTTTTTATCGGTCCTTGCTCTAAGGGTGACGTAATTGATGTAGTCTTATCAGAAAGGGACCCGTATCATCGTATCAGCAGAACTATACCCGAATCAGCCGCAGAGTGGAAAACTTGTGAGGCTTTTTTGTGGGCGAATTGGCTGGCGTTTAGCCTAGGCCGTTCCCTGAGCTTCGGATGGAGAGGGTTCAAATTTGTTCTGATTTCGAGGTTTGGTGTAAAGGCTTGTGGGTTATGTGGGTGAGGGTTGACGTTTCGGGGCTTTGGGTTATGCCTTTATGATCCAGACTTTGCTACTGGAGGGCGTGATAGCAGGTACAGCAGACCAGTAGGTGTCCTTGGACTGATGGGATCGTCATCCTTGCAGTGCACCAAGTGACATGTATGTATATATGTAGGTAGGTAGGTAGGTAGGTAGGTAGGTAGATAGGTATGTATGTATATATATATACATACATACATACATACATACATACATACATACATACATACATGTACGATTGTATGTACAATCTGTATCTGTATTCGTATGTCGTATATATATATATATACAAAATGCGGATAAGAATAAATATACCGGCACATTGTTCGTTCAAGTTAGCCACGGCTTGTTGAGAGGCACAGGATGCACTCGTCCTTTGCTTTGCATGACGTGTTTTTCTGTCCATGCGGCTTGGAGTTAATCAAGAGCCGCTGACAAGCAGACAAGCATGTGAAGGCTTCGCGCCGCAGGGCTGCCAGGCCTCATTTCATGCCAGGTGCTGGAAGCGGATGTCACTCCTCTCGTTCAAACGAAGTGTAACGAAGTGTTCCGCGCATCAAAGCCCAACTGACCCTGAACCGTGAAGTCTACACTCTACACCCTATAACCAAAGCCCAATGCGCTACGGCCCTAGGCCTCTCATCCACAGCCTCTGTCCCTCAGGCGTTGCCGTGACCATGTGCGTCCAGATCATCAATGGCAACTTCGCATGGATCACGGACGAAGACCGTCGTCGACGATACTTGACTGCGGTGGAGTTGCTTGGCAAGAGGATCTGGGGAGGGGCGCAGGAGCTTGGAGATACAGTCTGAGGGACTCGGGTGGTTGCGAAGACACCTTGCCTCACGGAGCCACAACATCAGTCTCTCACCGAATCGATTCCGGTCACACTCGCAGCAAGCAAACCGAATGCCTCAAAGGCGCCGATGACAACTGAAGCCCTAGTCTCAAGCACACGAGCCGACCTGACACTGACAACTGCGGAGAGGTCCCGCTTGCGCCCGGTGGAGATACTCACACTTTCGAGCCTGGTCTGCTTCGTGCAGCCCTCAATGCTGGGATCAATCTCATGTACTTCGCCTCTTGATGTGACCATGACCTCAGACAAACAGTGGTGTTTAATGTTTGCGGTTGTTTAGTCTCCTTGAACCTTATTGGTAGTGTTGCACCGTTTCGTGCGGCTGGTTAGGGTTATGCTCACTCTTGCTCCTGTTTGTGTGAGTGTTCACATATGTATGAACATTGCTAATTTCCAATCCCGTCCATAGCTACCTTCCTGTTGCCTACCACCAAGCCTTCGCGATTCGTTGTTGTAGTCCTTCCGCCTAACCTCAAGCGCGTAACCCTGAGCCCTCAACGGTCAAGCGGAACCTTACAACCTCGAAATCGATCAGACCGTGACATAGCTCAATTGTCAATGCCTCCAACTCCCGGTGCGGTTTTCGAATATTCATCGGTGGGAGCCACCACTAATTGCAAGATCAGTGCTGTGAATTATCATAAGAGTAGTCAGATCATGCCGGCAAGCACGATGTAAAATGTACCCTTGTTTCGCCACGCTTCTCGTAGTGTACCGAGCTCTTAACGCCCTCCATTTCATGACATACATACACACACACATATGTATGTATATATATATATATATGTGCGTGTGTATGTATGGATGGATGGATGGATGGATGTAGGTAGGTAGGTAGGTAGGTATGCATGTTGTAAAGCCAGGGAAGTGTATGCTTTTGCCCAAGACGTTGTCGCGGGAAGATCTGCACAAGAAATCTCTGGCTGACTACAGACCTGCCACTGCAAAGCCATCATCCCCCCGCTCAATAGATTTACAGAGCTGCGTGTGCTGGACGAAAAGCTGTTGAGCCTACGTCATGTGGCGAGTTTTCCACAGCTTGCACTCAGCATCAGGTTCTTGCCTTTGGTCTCCTTGGCATGGCGAAGATGCGGCTCGGGTGAAAAGTGTCTGAAAACTGCTTTTCGGCACCGATGGCAGCAACTAAGATGCTTCTCGCAGTCAATGGTGATCGTATTCGCTCATGACGCCACCTTGCTGTTTTGCTCCCGGCTTTGGGCCCCTCCATTGACGCATCTTTTTGTTTGCACTCCAGAGAGTGTGCTGTGTTCTGACCCTGTCAAAGTGGTGGCATTGCACCTGTTAGTAAGCAGATCAGCAGATACTGCGAACGCACGAACTTACATTGTTTGTGTGAGCTTGCGCTGCCATCCGCATACATGATGTCAGTAAAGCATCATGCAAGAAGTACGTTGTGATTACGAGAGGACCGTTAGTTTTCGAATCCCGGTGACTGAAGCATCACCAACAGCAGCGCAGCACAAGGTGGTAAAAATATTTGTTTGAGTTTGTTGTTGCCGTGATTCTGCTGCTCCGCTACGACTACGACCACGACTACTACGTAGTGGAGTAGTAGTAGCAGCGGAAAACTCATTGATCAAGACCAAGCTTGTTAACACTAGAGGTAAAACAAGCTTACATACAGACAAAAAATGACCAAGGAGTCCAGACCGTCCCGAGGGCTTCGTGGCCAGCCTTGCATTGCTGTCTGTGCTCGCAGTGCAGGCGGCGGGAGACGGCATGAAACATCACTCAGAATGTCGTTTAGCTTGCAGAGTTTTCGGCTGGGTTCTGCCTGAAACGAACTGTAGGCCGCCCTGTGTCATGTCACACTCCAGTTGTCTTAGGGAACTCATGCGTGGAGCTTCGAAGGTGCGGTGTTCAGATCGCTGCTGCATACAAAGACTAAATTCCAGTTCGTACTCGGGCCCCGGTATAATGGGCCTTTGCATGCTGGGTTCAAGTCTGTCAAACTGTTCAGCTCACTTCGAAGGGCAGGGGTCCATCTCCTATCGCGAGCAAGCGTAGCTGCAAGGCTGCAGTCTGCCTGGCCTGTCCAGTATAGAGTTGCTGGATTTTTTGCAGTCGTGCCGGGCAGGCAAAGATCCCTCAGCCCCCAAGCCTCAATTGTGAGGCACAAAAGATGTCGAAGTATCGAAAACATGCAGAGCGAGGACTTCTCCTTGGATGTGCTGGCAACATGTCCCCAAATCGAAGCTTTCTGCCTTCGGCTTGTGCTGGAAGGAGGGGTTCAAAACAATGAGGGCCAAACCAATAAGTCAATAAGGACTTGCAGACGGGACCCCAAGCAGTTTGCACGTAATACCGGAAATGCATGTACCTATAGGTACGTAGGTATAGGTAAGTAGGTCGGCAGGGAGATACGGAAGTCGGTAGGTAGTCAGGTAGATTGTAGGTTATAGGCAGGTACGTATGTACATATATGTATATAGCTATGTATGTACGTATATGCGTAATGAGTATTTGTGTGGATGCCCGCTTGCAGGAGAGCGGGGCATCATCTTGGACCAATCCTTGTCCGTGGCCGTTCTCCAGGCTGCGCATTTTCTGTGTGAGTGTTCAAGCTGCCTTTGAGGCGCGAATGAGTGATGCACGAGCGCAACTTTGTACGCTGGACACCTCGATTTAAATTCTTACCAGACTCAGACCGCTCACTGAAGGTTTCGATTGCAACCATAGTACAGTAGACCCCCAAATCTTGTGGATGCTTCCTTTCGTCATTGCTTTCGGTCGGCTGCTGTGCGCGTGAGTCCTGGGCCTGAGTGTAGCAAACCCTGCTGAAGCATCTCGAGCATCCTGCCTGCGGCCAGAAGCAGCTGAATGCGATCACATCTCCGTCCATGATGCCACTTTGCTGCCCCGATCTCGCTCGTGCAAAGCAGCCGGTGCTTGTTCCGTCGGATGTGAGAAGCCATGTGTTTGTTTTGGTTCAAGCAAGCCCTTACACCTGCGGCAGGGCGGCACAGATGCCAGTTGCAAGTTAGACAACCAAGACTATCCATAGGCTCTCTATTAGCAAGAAGCCCCTGGTCCGATAATGCTGTTCATGCTTTTGAAGTGATGTGATTTGTTCGCTCATAGTTGCACTTTCTCTGACTTTCGTTTCAGGTTTGGGGGCTTCGCCTACAATGGCATCAGCTTCCTCTTCCGGTCGGGCGCGGAGTTGGCGCCGACATATGTCGTGGGCCCTCTGACCGGAATGGATGTTCAGCAGCCGAGGTAGCTTCGGGGATTGGGGTGTATATGTGTAAGTACATCTTTCCGGGTGTGTAAGTTTAGTCTGTGCATTGTTCGTCGTTTGTTCGTTTGCTCTTGTTTGCGCGGGTGTGGCTGCCTGTGCACACAAGTGTAAGCGCGCAGGGGAGGGAAGGTGTGCGTGCGTTATACTGATCTTCCTAGTGAATAGCAGCCTTGTCAATCTTATCCCCATAAGCTACAAGCGGTGGGGCACTCGTATCTGATCCCCCTTGTCAATAGCCTCTATCAGCTACAAGCGGTGGGGCACTCGTCTCGAGCTTCGGACAACAGCATCCTCTGCAAACCATGTCGAATATGTCTGCATCTGCAAGATGATTCTGGAGTTGCCGCCGCATGGGCTTCCTTCTGATTTAAGTTAGCCTTGTTCGAGCATGACAAACAACAATTTTGGTGTTGTATGCCGTGCTTAAATAAACAAATACTCATAGATTTAAGCTCATGTACATATCGGTCAGGTATATTGATGTAGCGAGACAGTGAGAGAGAAGACAAGCGATTCGGGTTGAAAGGGCCGAAGTTTGCACCTCTGTGGGATGTAATGCTGCGCGTGTGGATGGCTTCCGGTACCGAGCTGGTCAGCATCCCCGTGGAAGCAGTGCCGGATGTGCGCGGGTTGAAGCGGGATTTGGAGAGGCATTGTGGCTTTACACGATTCAGACAGAGGATTCTATATGATGGACAAGATTTGGAGGACTCCACAACTCTCGAGTCTCCACGGGATCTGCAGCTGCTCTTGCTGAGCTTCTCGGGCGTCTCTGACCTCACAGCTGCTGCTGCGGAAGGTCAGTCATCGAAGCTTGAGGAGCTGCTTCAGCAGCCTCAGGATCCAAACCTCTGCGTGACCGAAGATGGTGCCACACCTCTTCATAAAGCCTGCGAAGGCGGGCATGTGCAGATCCTCTGCTTGCTGCTGGAGGCACATGCCATTGCCAACAGTGAGACTAGTCAGGGAGAAGCACCATTACATCTGGCATCACGACAGGGGCATGTGGAAGCTACGAGGCTGTTGCTGGAAGCAGGTGTGAGGAACAGTGTGCAAATTGGATCGCAGCAAGGAACAACCACGTGGGCGTCGTGCGATGCCTTCTTTCTGTCAGAGCCGACAAAGATTTGCCAAACCGCGATGGCGGCTCGCCTTTGTTAGCGGCCGCGGCTCTCGGCCACGTGGAGACTTCTCAAGCACTGCTGGAGGCATGTGCGGACAAGAACGCGCCTGATCAGGATGGGGACGTCCCACTAAGCATTGCATCTGGCTATGGCCATGTAGAGATCGTGCGTTTGCTTTTAGCGTCCCGTGCGGAGATGACGGTGCGTAACACTAGCGGTGACACCCCCCTTGGGGTCGCAAGCATGCGTGGGAAGCCGGAGACTGCTCGTGCTTTGTTACAGGCTGGCTGTTGCAAGGATGAGCGCGACAGTGAGGGTGCGACACCACTTTGGTTAGCATCAAAGTATGGCCACACGGACACTGTACATGTGCTGCTGGAAGCAGGAGTTGACAGAAATGCTTGCAACGATGATGGACAGTCGCCCCTCTGGACAGCGTGTACACATGGTCATAAGAAAATTGTGAAGCTGCTGCTGGGGTCCGCAGCGGACCCGAACTTAGAATGCAACTCTGGAAACACCCCTTTGGGCATGGCTTCCCGGAATTGTCACATGGAAACCGTGCGTGTGTTGCTGGACGCCGATGTAGACATAGTACGACAGAACAAGTGGGGCAAAACAGCCCTCAACCTGGCAGAAAATGCCGGCCACAAGGAAATTGCACGCCTCCTTGTGGAAGGGACTGGCTTTCCGGAGCCAAAGGCGAAGTGCCTAAAACACAGGGGTCTGTATCCTGCACTTGTCGTACGCAGCTTCGACGCAGACTGCTGTTGCGGCACGTTGTTCCTCCGTAGGGAAGGGTAAGCAGACGTCACATTGTGAATTCTCCTCCATTACAACATAAGAAACCCTGCCCGCAGCGATGAAGCTGGCCATGAGTTTAAGTGAGCATCGGCTCATGGATCAGCAGTTGCTTGTGCCAGCAGTCAGTACCACCTACGGCCACGATCCATACATATCCCAAGACTGTTCAGAAGCTGCTCCCCGACGTTGTTCGTTTGGTGTCATACTCTTGCCTTTGCAAAAGCTTGCCAAACCTGCCGAGGCATGGCGGCCTGCTTCAGCTGTGCGCTCTACCTTACCTTTACAAGTGCCAGCTGATCAGCTGCAGCCAGCCTCCCGATTAGCCGAGTCAGAGCGACTTACGACGACGGAGTGGTCCGACAACTGCACACCAGTCCCAAAATACCACAAAAAGCCGCCATGCTTCGAATGCCATGTAGCTGTGTGGACTCGGCCGATGTGATGTGAATCTATAACAGCGAGGGTCTGCTTTTTCGGTGCGAGGCTAAGGATACCTCAGAACCGAGAACTAGGCCTTAAACCTGCATCTCGTAGCCTAAACTCGACAGCTTCGAAACCCTACTACGACGGTTCAAATTCTCACCCGGGCCGCCGAAAGCACCGATATTCCAAAGCTCTGGCATTGAAGGCGTCGGATTTAGCTTGGCGCGTCTCCAAAGCCAAGAGGCCGAGAGATGGGTCTTCGCGGCCTTCTTGTAGAAAGACAGATATGCTGAAAAGGTCAGCGGGGAACAACTCATCCACTTGCAAAAGCTCCTGTAGGGCGGAACAGGGGAGAGATAGACAAACCTGCAGCTTTGCCGGGTCGAGCAGTGACAACGATGACGACGACGACCACAGCAACGGCACCAGCAACAGCAACGACGACGACGGCAAGTACAACCACAACCACAACCACACCACCACCACCACCACCACCACCACCGCCACCGCCAGGGCCACCACCACCACTACCACCCACCACCGCCGCCGCCGCCGCCCCCACCACCACCACCACCACCACCACCACCACCGTTGCTTCATTGGGGATGCAACTGCTGGTTCTGCTGCTGACAATTATGACGACGG